TGTGTGTGTGTGTGTGTGCATGTGCGTGCTTACAGCTGAAATGTTTGATCCAATGAAATTACACTGGAAGCTTGTTTCAGTCAGTTAGCATTATGGACTAAATTTGGAGCCTGTTGCTATATAGAAATAGCTAAGTTTACACCAGAGCCGCTGGCTGCTGTTTCTGTCTCTGTCAGCCACCTGAGCCCACAGCCTGAGTGTGAGGGGCTCTGTCTGACTGTGTGTGTGTGTGTGTGTGTGTGTGTGTGTGAACGAGAACCCTCCTACATAGTTCAGGAAGTCTGGGTGACCCTGTCTCAACAAACTTCAAGAGTATATTTCATCAAAACAAAGAAGTTGTAAGATAAAGCTGTTATCATACTTCCCTTATCTCAGACCGTTTCTTTCATGAGTATTTAAATCACACTGACATGAGTTCTGTGTTTTTTCATCCTGTATGTTCTCAAACATTTGAACCTGTTAATCCAAATCATTAATTGAGACAAAAATGTGAATCACAATCTCATGATATACAAATTTCTTTGATGACTGGATGAATTTGGGAACACAACAGAAATGATTGTGGTGACACATCGGCCGCCTGCTGCCATAAAAACTACCCAGATAAGAAGAGGGGCAGAGAGAGAGGACGAGGATGAAAACAGCAGCACAGACGAAGTAACAGGGGAACCTGAAGAGAGACAAGTTGAGCACTTTCGTTGAGAAGAAGTATTAAGCGAGGCTGTGAGACAGGTCGGGAAGCAGAGTATGATATAAATAAAATCATGACACTGGCCTTATTGATTATGGAATAATCATGGCAAAAGCAACCAACGTACGGGCACTGAAAAAGAATACAAATACTTTTATTGTGAAACTGTAGCAGGTCAGAGGACGTTAGCTGAGCAGGCAGAGCTTCATATGTGTGTTCACAGTTCAAAAGCAAATGTAGCCACATGCATCACAGATCTCTGAATGTGTGAATGCACCCAAAGACGTCATGAGATCTGATCCCTCAGTACACACACGTGTTCAGATCACGCATCATGTATTCACTCATGTGCAGACACCAGTGGCCTCAATAAGGTCGAAGGCCTGTGTCTTAGCTGCCTCGTGTGATGGATGACGGCACTTATGGAAGAATCAGTAAAGTTAAGTGGAGGTTTTTCCATCTCTCTCTCTCTTGGATTGATGATGTAAGAAAAGTTTGGCTCAAAGTCAAAACTAGAGAGAGTCTGAGAGGAATCAACAGTCGACGATACTTAAAGTTTCATCATCTGATCTAAATCACGCTCAGCTCCAGTCAGCAGGGGAGCGTTGAATCATAAATCATAACCTGAGTATTAATAGACCTCAAGTGAACGTTTTCTTCCAGTGGAAAAGAGGAGTTTGTCAGAAACATGCCACTATTTGGATTTGCGTCTTCCTTTTGTTTTCTTTGGCTGGAAAAGTAAGATTGTTAGGACAATAAAAACACTCCTAAAGAAATGGGAGACTGGGATTAAGTGAGCTGATTTAAGAATTCTGTGTTGTGGTTGGAATACCATTAAATTTAATCGTTTCCTTTTTGTTCTGATTAGAAGTTAATTCTACTCTCGGGCTGGTTTTGATTAGATAAACTCACATGAGGATTTATTTTCATTCTCTCTCACACGTAAGTGCAAACACACGTCAACGTCGTCCTTCAAAGGGAAAAATATCTCACTGTCACTCTCATTGTTGACCTGAAAGACTCCGACCTGAGGCCAGTGCACGTATCTCTTTTCATGAGTCAAGCCGTTGAGATTATATCCTGTCAGTTTTCCTGTCTGTACTTTTCAAGCTGTTTTCCCCTGTGAGGAAAACGTCCACTTGACCTGAAGTGTGTGTGTGTGTGTGTGTGTGTGTGTGTGTGTGTGTGTGTGTGTGTGTGTGTCCAGGCGCCTTTCAGTACATGCATGGAATTAACTATTAAATCTACCTGCTCAGTGAGTCTGTGCTCAGTTCTTATCATCTGTGGATATCAAACACATCATCTCACTGTTGTTTCGATAACCAACCTTGTGTTTGTCTCTTTTAGTCGATGATACACATGTCAACTCCTCCAAGACGTCCCCTACATCCAAAAAGTCTCTTTTTAAGGTACAGTATCAAAGCTTTTCCTTCCGTCTCCTGCATGTCTGTGTTTCACAAATCACAAATAGCTTGAATATTTGCTCTTTGTCCTGTTCCATTGTTTCTCCACTGTCGTAGAAGCTTTCACTTCAGATTCTCTGTTCATACGCATTTTCAACGTCATCAATGCGGCCACTTTCTTGTGGTGAGTCTTCTGGATCCTTCTCATTTGGACGTTATCCAGAGTTTTTACGAGGTGGCCGGCAGACGAAACTCCGGGGAATGTCCGCAGCAACTGACTCAAACATTTGCCTTCTCATATACAGCCCCTCTGGATAACATCAGCAGATTTCCCATAGTTCAGTATATGTCTGATACTGAAAGCAGCTACTGATTCACACATGTCTCAACCATCTGCTTTTTTAAATCCTCTCTATATTTAGTTTCAAACACACAGTAAACCAAGCTCCAAAACATAAAAATGTATGAATGATGCTATATCTATATTTTATAACCGGTCCAGACTTCATCTTTTTCATTTTCCTCACTGATTTACTTTTCCAGAGCAGATGGTGTTTGCTTCAACTCTCCTCTCTGGAAGTGAGCTGTCCTGCACCTGGATGCAAACTTGGCCAAAGCCGTGACTTCAGCACAAACAGTTCATGGTTGTCTTAAACGCAGCGGTGGGAAAATAAAAGTCTAGAGGATGCACTTCGGAAAACTTGATAATGTCCCCTCATCCAATGGGGAGATATACCCATGTGTGCTTAAAAATGAGCGGAGTATCGGGGTTTTCCCAGGCTGCTTGGGTTTCGGACGTGGTTAGGTTTCCTGATATTGGATGTAAATAGTTGTTCTAACTTGGCCTTCACAGAGCAGGAGCAGTGCCAAGGTTTGCCAAGTGAACCCAGATGGCAGCGAGTTGCTGTGCTGAAAACCCTGCTGGGAAAACAGGCTCCTCCAAAGAAGCTACATCTTACAATCACATTTTTTTCTCCCTCCATCCCTCCCTCTGTTCCTCCTTTTCAATGTCTCTCGTCTGAAAGTCATCAGCAGTGACAGATGCTCCTTCGCTGTCCTCACTTTTCCCTTATCGCTCTTCTCTCCTCCACAGTCTCTGTTGAAAGCCAGTGAGTCAGTGTCTCCAGCAGCAGCAGCAGGAGGAGTGAGGTTATAGTGCGTCTGCCTTCCAACATGGCAGAGGCGTGTTCATTAAGTCTTCTGGAGAAAGACACAGCTCATTTTAATTTTGAATTTCCAGAGTGTATTTAAAAAGAAGGCGATATATTCACACAGTTCTTTCTCTATAATCTGTATCGTAGTTAGAATGTGAGTGGCCTCTAATTCTGTTGCGCTTTGGTGTGTAATTTTGTGAAGAAGAAAAAAACAGCATTGGATTTCCGTTGCTTTCCTCACAGCTGGAGATCCACTTATCTTCACCGTGTCACCCCGGGGCAGCGGTGAACTGTTTACTGACACAGCTCTCCACAGCTGAGTCACACTTTATGCAGGTTTTTAGAACGTCTTGTGACTTTCCCCTGCTTTCAAACTTGCGCCGTATTTTGGATATAAGGGCTGTTTGTGAGAACGCAAATGTCAAAGCCAGTTGCTCCGGACGTTTTCCAGAGGTTTTTCCAGCTAGCCCCCCCCCCCCAGTTAGAGCAGGATATTCTCACTGTGGTTCACTGCAAGCGAGTGGACACGTTGATGACGTTTTTTTAACATGCGGCAGACGCAAAACTGAGAAATTAAAAGAATACTAATACCTCAGAATTAAAGAAAAAAACACTGAGCTTTCTGCAGCAGAATTTCATACTAAATAGCAAATAAAAATACTTCCTTAAGGATCGTTTACTGTGGAAAATGCAGCACTGGCAGTATTTGTCATTATTTAGTTTTTCTGCACTGTATGACTCAAGGTTGGGTATTTTTCCTCACAGTCCAGTAAAACTCTGCTTCACTATCTCACACCCACCACAGCATTGACCTCTAAGAAACTCAACATGTTTATCTGCTCCAGTGGAGGGGGGTGGAGCTTTACTCATTCATTCACTTCCTTGATCAAGGTTTGTTTACAGCCGAAGTCGTCGGATTTCTAAACTCCAGCTCCTAATCTTCAGCTCTTCTCTCTGCCTGTAGGACCTGGAGGGGACAGGAGATGGGAGCAGCCGTCGCCACGCCGATGATGCAGTAAAACGTCTAATGAGCAGTGAGGAGGACGAAGCCTTTACCAGGTGAGCAGGTTCACACGTTTCTTTAATGTCACCGATCTATCAGAGGAACCACATGTAAGCTTTGAAGTCGTCTTCGTCACCAGTCGAGTAAAAGATTTATCGATGGTGATACATTACATGTAAAACAGGAGCGGAGTGAAGAACTTTAAACCGAGGGACGCTCTCACACAGGCCGAGTGCAGAGGTAATTACAGAGCAATTGAAAGGTTGTGCATTGATGTGATTAACTGCAGAGATAAACCAGATAGACCTGCAGAGCCCGCCTTTATTACCTCCCTGTCTTGCACAGACACACACATACTGTAGGTACACAAACACTCATTGCTCTGTGGTAACCATGGTGATGCAAACCAGGCCGAAGTTAATAGTTTAAAAGTTTGAACTGTTTTCAGTTTCCCTCTCGGTTCAGTGCATTTTGAGCAAAGCTTCACTGTTTCTAATAAACTAGAAAAAACAATTTTATAGCGAAAAATCCACTTTGAAGAAATAACAACAAAAGCAAAATAATAACACTCACATTACAAGGAACTGCAATTCATCAATCTGTGTCTCCAAAAAACTCCTACCTCGTATGAAACCACATTCAGAAGATGAGCCATTAGTGAATTCTACTTTCATCGTCACTACACTGGTCCAGTGCCTAGATTGATAATGAAGCACCAAATGATTGTTTGTGTATTTCTGCAAAGCTCTTATTGTTAGAGAAAATACAGGAGAACAATCATTCACACCGTTCCGTGCAAAACCTCCTGCAGCAGAACTTTTATTTAAACTGCACGAAGACGGATTCTTCAGGATTGAGTTTCAGTTTTTGATTTAACCTTTGTTTCCAACGTCTTTGTCCTTTTCTCCCTGATATTTCAGGCTTCATAAATCTGACACAGGCGAGACAATGGGGGAGAAGGAGGCCTCAGATGAACCTTCGTGGAACGAGCAGTGTGAATACGATGCCACCGCAGAGGGAAAAAAGGTGAGTTTTTCCTCGTAAAGGTATCTCAAAAATGTCACATGGTTTTCATAACTCAGAGGCTCGAATGCAGAAGTCACCTCTGTGGATTGTGTTTGGAAAGATAATATTTTTGACCAACGCTCACGTCTGAAAAATCTTACCGCTGCATGCGATTCAATTCCAGAGCTCTGACTCACCTCAGGCTTGGCTCCGTCATATTTACATTAGGTTTTTGTTTTTGCAGTGGATGTGTAGATTGTAATTCATTTTCAACACTGACACACGTCACCACATCTTAAAGTGATTACGCACACGCACTCGACTCCACAAGCGCCCCACGTGTTGTGCACATGGTGTTTTCCATCGAAGCGGCTCACCAGCTGGTTAGCGTTGCACTTTAACATCCAGTCAGCCTCAGTGTATTCTCCATCTCCCTCACAACCTTTGACCTGTCAGTAGCTTGTCTGCAGTTGTCTCATCTAAGAGATAAATTGAACAAACACAAATGGATTCGTTTTGTTTCTTCGTGATCGTTCACTGTGTTTTGAAACCTGTATTGTTAAAGAATATTAGTAGATAGATAAGAGTGAATTTTCATTTTTGGGTGAACTATCCCTCTATCTTGGATTACAAAAGAGTTTGCTATATTACTTCACATACGTTTTTCATTCCTGGAAAGCACAACAAACTGTTGTGTTGTGCCAAACAAGTATTTGAGATTTGTGGGCAAATCCTTCCGTCCCTCTCTCTCTCTCACACTGTTTCACTCTAAGATAATTTTCTTTTTTCTGTTTCTTGGGCAAGTTTCTTTCACAGGGAGCTAAAAGAGTAAAAAGCATGATCGCCTTTTAACAACATTTGATTCTGTGATCTCAGGAGTCTCCGAGCCGAGTGAAGGGTTAAGAGTTCTGAAATAGAAAGCGGAGTTAGACCATGCAGTGATTTAAGAGTTACCATTAGAATCTTAAACTGAATTCTGTAGTGGATGGGGAGCCACTGTCGTTCGGTGAGGACTTCATGATGTGTTCTCTACGTCCGGTGTTTGTGACAGGTGAAGAATGAAGAATAAATTCCAATATTTAAAATTTGTAAGAAGCAGGTTTGAACAAGGCTCTGAATGAAATTGAGGTTTGTCCCATTTAACAGGTCACTGAAAGCTGAAACTACATGTTTGTGTACATGGTTGCATATATTTTAGTCTTTGAGACTTTGGGTAATGGGAGAATGTTTTTCCGTTTATGTGGAAATTGCAGAGGAGTCGCTGTTGGAAAATGTGCTCAGAGATAGTTATGTGCTATAATCAAGCGCAGTAGAACAAACTGCTCCTGCAGTTTAATAGTCTTTTCCAGATATTATAAATATAGTAGTAAAAGAAAACTCTGTCTCTCTTTCTGTCTCCACCAGCCTTCCAGTCTCCTTTCTGACAGCAAGCACAGAGACGCCTCTCCCCCTCCCTCCCCTCCCTGCCAGCCTGCCTCTCTGCAACGTCAAGACTCGGGCCCTCGAGGCATCAAGGGAATCCTAAAGAAAAGCCGCTCCACCAGCGTGGAGTCGGACCACAGCGAGGGCTCGACGCCTGAGTGCCCACCGGCTCGGCAAAGCAGCGTCACCCTCAGTCACCATGAGAGCGAGGAAGAAACACAGGAGGAGGATGAAGAGGAGGAGGAGGAGGAGGAAGAGGAGGAAGAACCCGAGGATGAGGACAACGAGGAAAACGAAGGAGAGGATGAGTCATTGACTGAAGATGTCACAGACGGCGGGAGCTTCAGCATCAACAGACAGCACAGCGAGGGCAGCAGCAGCAGCAGAGGAAGCTTTGAGGAGATGCAGAGTCCTTCGCCTGATGAGAGTCTGGAGAAGACGTCCACAGTGTCGGAGGATGTTGAGGAGCTGGAGAGCAGCTTGGATGGAAGTGTTGGCTCCTCCCACAAACAGAGGTCATTGGATGAACACTAACACAGCATCACAGTAAAGTAGTAAAGCAAAGGACTAAATTGTCTGATGAAGTTAATCACTAATTAATCAATTAGCAGCGCTCGTATGAATTCTAGCTTATGATCAATATTTAAACCTTATGAATTCATTTTCATCTGAGCCTTGAGACTTTATATAAAGATGGACGACGTGACAGCTCCCTACAGTGAGGCCAAAGGGCTTGGCTGCAGCACACGTCAAACCAGGCCTCCTCCATGTTAATGGATGGGACATGGACCAAACTAAATCGTAAATTCAGTGTTCATGTTTCCAGTGAGTTATTTGATGCAATAAAAACGGAGTGAAATGTCATGATTGACAGCTGAGACTGACTCATAAACGGTTGAACGAGTGTATTAGCGGGAACCCGCTACCACGGCGACATACCACAATGCTGACTGCATGGAATCTGGCTCTAAATATGCAAGATGGCAGTATTGGATTCATTTCTGGAACCCTTTCTATGGTTAAGCCGTATGTATTGTCTTTATCCGTTTTCAGACTGTCAGACTTCAGCAGTAAAGATGAGAAGAAGGACAGACTGAAGAAGTCAAAACCATCCGAGCTGATCCAGACGTCACTCGCCGATCGCTTCAATCAGCTCCACGATGCTGAAAATGCCTGGAAGAAAAAGGTGAGTGAGTTATTAGGCGACCTCTCCTTCAGTGTGGTGGGGTAAACTTGTTGGTCATGTGGGAGGAATAACAGGTCTGCAAGAGTTATTAAAAATTAAAGCCAATTTTTTTTTTTTTTTCTTTACAATGGTGTTGGTTTTAATGAGCAGATCCTGCCACATGTTGAGGTTTCCCCTCAGCGTCGTTCACAGGGAAAGACAGATTTGGCCGTGCACACATTTCTTCCTCTGCTGAATCAGCTCGTTTCCCTCGGAGCTGCTGCCAAGAGGGCGTGAGGTTCGGAGGGCTCGGGGGTTGCAGCAGATTTGGAAGTGGTGTTGCCAAAGCCAGTGATCCAGAGCTTAGTTAGCCTCACAAAGAGAAAGAGAGACACACCCTCCCCCTCCCTTAGAAAAATAAAACCTAACACCGCGAACAAACACCTGCAAACCTTCCACGCTAATGCCTGCTTCCTTTACTGGGTTTTACAGAGTCTCTCTTCTCCTCTTCTCAAAGTTAGAAAAATAATTCCTCTCCACAAGTGAGCTTTGTGTTCTTCATACACTTTCACAAATGGATATAAACATGCAGAGGATTCAGCGTTTCATAGACACGGACACGTTTTGAAGAAGTGATGAAAGTCCACGGAGGTTACTACGTGCCCCCCCCCCCAAAAAAAAACCCATTAGGCTATATAATAACCCTCATAAGGACCCTTTGTAATTAGCTAATGATATTCCAGTGGAGGAAAAACCAAAACGACTGATGTGATGACATGTTTATACGTATGAAGCTTCTCTGCGCTCGATGACTGTCGAGGTCAGGAAACCTCTTGGGGTTTTTTTTTTTTTTTTTTTATGGTTTGGCTTCATCCTTCATCCAAAGATGAGCTAAACTTAGAATAAATCCACTTTATAAGAAAGTGCGGGCCGCCATAATCTTCATTCATTTAAATACTGATGTCATGTTACATTTGAAGGGTCTGTTTTCATTATGATAAATCAACAGAGTCCATGTAATTTAGTGTAATTCCATTAATGGCGCAAAGGCTGCAACCGCAACCTAAAAGAGTCTGCAGACTCCTTCCTTTGATTCAGTATGATTCGGTCTGGAACTTGTTCTGCTACTGTTGATCTCTGGGAAACTAAAGCCGCTGTCGGACAGAAACTCAAGACAATTGGGTCTGGACATTATCCGGAGTTTGGAACACGCAGATCCATGGATTTAACGTTTGAATCCGGCTGCAGAGATCATGTGCTTTTGTTTATTTCTTTCGCTGACATGTTCGTCTGTGTTTTCTCCGTTAATGACTCCTCTTTGTCATCCAGAGATATCGATTTTCTCCCGCTGTGTTCCCACATGAGCTCATTCAGACTTTATCCAGAGTTTTTACAACTGGAGAAACTTCAAACTCCAATTTCAGGAGACTATCAGGATTTCTGTGCCTGTTCTGACTCACATCAAAAAGTTTTATCTGTGTGGCGTCCAGTAGAATTTGATAATTCTTGTTACATTTCTACCTTGAAGAAAAAGCCCTTTTGGTTTTCGTGTTCAGGCTTGTCGATCCATCTGGTACCCTGCCAAGCCCAAACAGATGTTGTTGCTCTTTGTTTGATATGTGGGAGACCAGGGAATGTAACATGCATGGTACACACCACGGTCATCTCCAACCAGCTCCAGATGTTTCCTGTAAAGCCCGCTACGCTGCTCCGTGCTCCGTGCACCGTGGTCGTGTTGTAAAGTGAGGCCTCGTTGTAAATTAAATTTAAAAGTCTGTCGTGTTTTGGATAATGATCGTTAATAATAAGTTACTTTGACTGTTTGCAGCCTTTCACCAGTTAATGATTAATGTTATCCACAAAAGAAAACTGCTGCTCTGTCAATATCAATTCAGGTTTTGGAATAAGTTACAAATTTTAGAGTCCTTTACAAAATCCATGCAGACATTAGAATAATATTTGAAAGGTTTTGTTTTAAATCCTGCCGGATTTGCTAAGTGTCTAGTTTTTGTTTCCCAGCGATGACTCACCGTAGACGAGTCTCTCCACAAATCAAAACACTGACACCGCAGCTCCCCCACAGACATGTCACTCCATTAACACTCAGTGGGAAATATTGTCTCTGAGCCGTGGTGATTCCCAGAAAAAAAAATAGCTGAGATAATCAGTTAAAGATGAGTTTATTAAATCCAATTTATTACGATTCCCAACTAAATCATGAAGCCAGATTCCTGCTGTGGGAAGTCAGGATGATTCACATGTGCATCGCTCTCAGTTTATGGTGTTTTGCTCTCTCCTCATGCGTTGTTATAAACAGTCTGTTTCCCTTTTGCCTTTTCTCTCACTCTCCCAAAACGTGATGCCAGGTTTCAAATGACCCGTGTCTGTCGGTCTTCTAAGCTGAAACCAGCTCATGACAGCTGCTGCAGTCTGACTTTGCCCTACCTTGCTCTTTCTCCTCCAGATCGTTTTTCTTTCCTCTTCTCTTCCTACAACTTCCTCTTCCTTTCTACCCTTCTTTCCAGTTTCCTCTGTCCCCCAACTGTGGACCCTTTTTTTGACACCTGCCTGTCAGCCTTTCCCTGTCCCTTCAGGTGAGTGCGTATGTATGAGGCAACCTGCATGGAAGTCACATCTTCATATTCCATCCTTCTCTCTCTACCTGTGCCCTGCACAATCTCTCACACGCTCTGAGGAATCAGAGCTGTCGACACACTCGTTGTTGCTACATGAATGCGGTTTGCTGGCCCTCGGTTGGTTGATATCTGTGTCAGTGGTTTGGCGGAGGAGCGGCCTGCTCCGTACAGTCAGGCAGGGCTGAGAAAAATAGTTTCCTGTGAGGCTTTGAGGCCCCAAGCCCTTTCCTTTCCTCCCCCGTCTCTGGGGTCTTGTCAGCCCAAGGTATTCCCCTCCTCTGATTGACTCCAGAGATGGGCTGCTGGTTGGAGGGGCTGTGTCAGTGCGGGAGAATGCTGCAGGGCTGTGACACATATTGTAGCATGACTGTTCAACCTTTGCTTGTTTTGTTAGACGGACACGGCCGCAGTGGAGAAGGTTGCGATAACGTCTTGAGAATGACCACGTTGTTGTGTCTGTGATGTCACTGAATACATCTCGAATCCTGTGTTGAAATGGATTCCTCGTGTCTTATGGTCGTCTCACGATTGGCTTCGCTGTCCCCCCATGATTTCCTGTGGTACTGCTTCTTTACTTTTGCTTCGTTCGTATCCAGAAGCTTTCAGAAGACAAATAAGGACGAAATGAATGCGGAGTCCGTACAAAAGGATTTCTTCATTTATACATGCGCGTCTATTATAAAAACCTAAAAACTCACATCCCCACTCATTCCCCGCTACATTCAGGACCTGTGGGTGCAGAAACATCTGTGTGTGAGTTTGTGTCAAATTCTCCGATGTTGTGAAATCAGTCGTCCACTTTGATGTCCGGCCGCAGCGTGTCGTCTCTCTGCATGTCGGTGGGATTAAATGTGTTGCTTTGAACTTTGTCTCATGTCACGCTAATATTTGAACACAATGTGCAACGTGTTTGACATTAGAGGAGGAAAAAGTCTGTTACCACTTGTACCTTTGCCATTGTGTGCGGTGAGGGGGGGAGGGGGTGGGTGAGTGGAAGATTGTTTGAAAGAAACTGAAGTTTGCTCAGAATGAGACAGTTTGACTGTTTAATTTTTTACCTTGAAATGAAAAGTAAAGAAAGTATTAAAATATCAGGACTTTCAAACTGAGGTGCGTTTGTTAGAGCAGCAGCTCCTCTGGTTCAGCAGGTTGGAGAATTACTTTTCTTCGTCAAACACGATAAAAACATGACAAACTTGAATATGTCTGGGTTTTGGAATGTCGGCTAAATAAAACAAACAGATTTAAAATGTCACTTTCAGCTCTTGAGAAATTTGAATGGGAAAATTGCCATTGCAAATCCTCCAGCCTCCATCCCATCAATTTCCTACATTCACTTACATTTCGAGAATAGACTATTAATACCGTTCATGGACTTTTCCTTTTTCTAATGCCTCACTGACATCGGCCTGGCTGCAGTTCAACATCTTTTTCATCTTAAAGCTTTTGACATCTGCGGCTGTTTAAGTTGACTCTGCAGAACCAACAGCAGAGCTGGTGTTTTAAGTTGCAGACTGACAGTCAGCAGATCACACAGACCATCTTTCATCCACTGAGAAAATTCCTTTATGACTGTAACAAGCTACATTCGGTTTTGGGGAAACATTTGTTTATCATCACTTTAATTTCATGCAGCACAAAACCGCTCTGTCGCCCTCATATGAATAAATGTTGTATGTTTCAGAACACACAGTAATTTACAGTGAATACATTCAAACAAATCAAGTGTGTAGAGTTTTTGTTTGTGTTTTTTTTGTCTTCTTCTGCCTGTTTAGTCAGCAGCTGCTCAACAGTTGTCTTCAACATCATGTTTCTCGTCTGCTTGGAAGTTAATTTCGGTGTTTCAGGAATAGATTTTCTCGAGGGTTACCCACTGCTGAAAGGAAGTTGATGCTCATGCTACATTACCCCCAGTGAATTACTCATTATAAGTGAAAGAGTAAGGGGTGGCAGCTTGTAAAAAAAAAAAAAAAAGCCCAGACAGCACAATAAAACGCTTCAAATATTCAGGAGTGGAATATCATTAATTACTGTTCCACATCTCCGGGGGTCCACTGGGACCAGGGGGCAGTAAACCTCTGCTAATTCATTTTTATGGTTGAGTTCAGGTGCAGAAATGACAGCAGGAGTAAATCATGTATAAAAGCTCTGCTGTGTACGGGGTGATGGACGGCCTCGGTGTATACACAGGGATTCTGTGTTTTATTATCAGGACTCAACATCCTTCATGCCTTTTTGTTGTAAAAATAAAGCTTGACTTACACAGTAAGAACTTCTGTGGAACTATTTGCTTTCTCCTCCAGAAATCATGAATAAAATAATGTTTTTTTTCATAGCTGGCTTAGATAAAATAATGCCTGCCTGTGTGTTCGCTTCACTACATTATCGTCTTTCACCATCATCAGTAATCTCCCTTTCCTGTCCTCATGCAACCTTTCTTGCTGACTCATGGATTTGTGTGTGTGTGTGTGTGTGTGTGTGTGTGTGTGTGTGTGTGTCCTCAGAACTGCAAAAAAACAAAAAAGTTAAACGGACAGTAGATTAAAACATTTTTACTCCTTACGAAGATTCCATGTCTGAAATTGGATTTTATTCTCCACAGAAGTCCGGTGTAGAAATGGAGCCCAAGATGTCGCTGACGGAGCGGATGAAGATCCTCAAGGAGAAGGAGGAGCAGTGGAAGAACAAAGGCAAAGGAGCAGCCAATGACTCCGTCCAGTTCACTGTGGCTGGACGCATGGCCAAGAGAGGTGAGTTTATTCTGAGGGGATTTCACCCGGAATGAGAAAACAATAACAGCAACAGCGATCAGGAAATGGATCCCGTGATATCGAAGTCCACACGTGACCAATCAGGATTCAGTTTCAGGAAGATATCTGTCACATGAATGTGTCACAAATAATGATCATGAGCTCTAATTCTCCCCCCGTGTTCCATCAGGTGTTGTCTCAGAGGAGTCGCCTCTGAACGCTCTCAAGAAATCTAACGCCACGCCTGTGAAGCCGCATGAAGGTACGATCGCTGAGTCAATCACCATATGGATGATTGAACTAGGCTCTTGTGGCCGTATGTGTCGTATGTGCCACTAATTCAAGATGACAAAGTTATTTACTGACTTTCAAAATTAATTATTTAATTGTTCTGCAACAAAACCACAATTTAACAGACGTGTTTGTTTCTAATGGACAGAAATCTCCAGTAGATCTGATGTGAAGGTGGAAGGAGATAAACGTCTCGACAAACTCGAGTCCTTCCTCGACAAGCTCCACAACAAAGGTACAGTCCAGCTGTTGCTTAGTGTTTTCCACATAAGTTTATATTTAACTATACATTGTGTTATCATGGACTTACTCTTGTCCTCACACTTGAAGCCAAAAGCACAAATATCCGATGGTCTGTGTAACACTTCCTGTTTCCTCATGTTGTGGCGGGCGGGTCAGGCGTGAGCAAAAGCAAGACGTCCACCATTGAGGTGACGGCAGAGACGGAGAAAGAAGTGATGACCCTGGATGACGAGGAGACGTTCGGTAACTTCTACCGATCTGTCTCACCCTCCGCGCTCCAGGACTCCAGCGTGGTCGTCACAGAGGAGGACCTCAGCCAGATTCAGGCCGATACACCAAAGTCAGTGAATTCACCAGTGGCTTTTCAAACATATCCTAACCATTTCACTTAAAAGTATTATTAAAACACTTGTATTTACTTTATTATTAGACTCATCTCAGCCGTAACAGAACACAAGCGTGCAGTGCGACCCGCCCGGAGAAATCAGGGCTCCAGGAACCCTCTTCGAGCTCTGGCTGCCCGCAACGACCTCCGGCAGGTTTACACCGAACAGAGGCTCAACGTGGCCTCAGTGGAAACCAAGAGGATCCAAGTGGAGAGGAGTAAGATTCTTAAATGGCTCGACAAGATAACACTTAAGTTTGATAGAATGTAAATGTGTCCACTGTAAACATTCCGCATACAAGCAAAAACTATCAGTCAGATGATCTGAGGTTCTGAGCAGCTCTAATAGTTTTCTACCTGACATATTTTTCTGTGTCTCTGCTGACTGTGTACTCTCTATATTCAGTTCTCTATTTATACTCTGCACAGACTTGGCTGACCTTAGTGACCTTTTCACAATAAAAGAGGAAACGTGACGTACATACTTACATGCTTACATGTAGTATGTGCCGCTTTGTGGTTTTCACTTTTGGACGGCAGATTAAATCACTCCACGGTTATGATTCAAAATTCTTGCAGTAGTTGCTAACCGTCTTGTTTGCTCTCCCCATCAGTGGCAAAACACTCCAAGCACAACCTGGCCGACGTGGCCCTGGCGGGTCTCGCCAGCAAGGAGAACTTCCGCAAAGTCAGCCTGCGCAGCGTCAAGTCCACAGATGTTGTGACCAACAACAGTGCGCTGCCTTTCAACAAGCTCATGCTGATTCGCATCAAAGGTCAGAGACACGAGAGAATGTGCTGTGTGTTTGTTTTCTACGAATATCTGTTGAATGCTGCCTGCGACACTTATTTACACTTAAAGCTCCTCTCAGGTGTGTTTCTTAAGAATATGAAGTTAGTTTAATTGTGCGATAAATGCAATATGTGCGGTTTCTGTCTCTAGGTCGGAGGCACGTGCAGGTGCGCTTGGTGGAGCCCACAGCTCACTCTCTGAACAGCGGCGACTGCTTCCTTCTCATCACGCCAAAGCACTGCTTCATGTGGAGCGGAGAGTTTGCCAACGTCATCGAGAAAGCCAAGGTAGCGAACCTCACGCAAACTGAGAATGTTTCAGAAGCAGCATCGTGTTCAGACAGGTGCTGCTTCAGCTTGATTAAGTTCAAACTAAAAAATGCTGCCGAAGGACACAATTTAAAGAAAGAGACAAATCTTCCACCCACGTTCAGCTGTAACACGTTGTACATTATGTCTCCGTGTGACCAGGCTTCAGAGATGGCATCGTTTGTTCAGGCCAAGAGGGACCTCGGCTGTAAGGCGCCGCAGGTGACGTTGCTGGAGGAAGGAATCAACACTGAGAGCAGATGGGCCAAAGAGTTCTGGAGTCTGCTGGGAGGAAAGACCAAATACAGAGGTGCATGCAAACACACATTTGTTATGTTTAACAGCAGCAAATAAGGTCGTCTCGGCTCATCACATACAATGAACAGCTCACTTCTTCTGCTTTCTCTCTGTCGTGGCTCAGCAGCAAACCTCTATAACTTCCAACATCTTATTAAGGCCTTGAAGTCAAAGTAAAGGAGGACAGTGGACTATTTGTCTTACACTTTAATACAGCTTGATCAATTCTATAATACTGACCATTAGAAGTTTGTGGGTATCCCTTGTTGTTCTTAAGAACACTTCAGGCGTGTTGATGTTTTCTGACTCGGGCTTGAAGCCTGGTTTAACATTTGAAGGATCATCTGTCTTACCGTGCTGCCTCCCCTGCTGTCCTGCACATATGCTTACCTTCTTCTCTCCGCAATGTGTGTGTGTGTGTGTGTGTGTGTGTGTGTGTGTGTGTGTGTGTGTGTGTGTGTGTGTGTGTGT